TTTAAACTCAATCATATATACCATACTTAACTATGTTAAGGAAAATGTTTTTTAAATGTACATTTCAGATTATTAAACTTGACTAAGAACCATCAAGCTAATCAAATAGCAAGTTATATAAAACTGGTTGAGGGCAACCAAAAACAGAGATATGTATTTAATCCCTAACTCAATATCTTATAGCTTTTTGGCTAAATGGTCACTTGACAAGTTCATTTTTATGAAAAACATTGAATTTAACTAAAATCGCGAGATATCATGATTTAGGAAAACAACGGATAAACACATATAGCGAAGATTCATAAAATAAAAATTTGCACAGGAAAAGTATATCATCACAAGTTTCAAATGCAAGTAAGGAATGCACCTCAGAAACTAGACAAATCAGTGACTGCATCTGGTTGCGGAGAATTGAGTCACCAATCGCTGCCCAAGATTTATGCCGCATCCTGTTCATGAACACAACAGGATCGAATGGAGGTAGATCACAATGGTATGGTTTCCATCTCCAGTAAAGATAATGACTATCAGGTCGTCCATTTCTCAGACAATTGTCCGAATCATCGATGAATTTACAGCTTGCATTATTGTAGGATGGACCTGAACGGTTTGGGATCCACTGTCCATGAAAAAGATTACATCGTCCTACATTGTATACCATTCAACTTTCAATACATTTACAGCTAAATGCAGATTAAAAAGTTTAAAAGCGCAAACTTGTATTTAGAGTTTCCAATCATTTAAAAAGCAGTAATGCCACATCAAGTTATTGATTTTTCTTTCTTTAAGTAAACAAAAGGTTATCGATTTCCGTCATGCATAGGTTACCAGCAGAATTCACGGTATTTTCAGAAAATTTACATGATCCTCCATTAAGAGATCAGCAGTCAGGCTTAAAGTAGGTTACTGCTACTAAAATTTGCTGTAGTGGTAATATTTCTTAAGCTAATGTACTTACACATTTCACATGGCTTGCAAACTTTCCTCATGTTCATCAATAAAAAGTACTTAGCTCCGTTTGTGTCATTCTATAAACTTGTATTAGCTCAGTAGTTCCAGAGCTTAAAGAAGATAAAACAAAGAATCATAAGTTTTCTATGCAGACATAATGGATTCTACAAGCTTCTCCAAAACCCGCATTAAGAAGTATCACTTTATTGAAATTCATTCTTAAACCACTGAAAACGATAGCAAAATGAAAATTTTCACCAAACGACAACACAAACAAATGTGACCTTCCTCTGAAGAACAAAATATATCAAATTTCTTGGTGGTGGCGTGTGTCTATATATACTATTATTATATATATATATATATATATAATATATATACTATATATATATATATATATATAGAGCAGAGCCAGAAGAGAGAGAGGAGAATAATGGCAGGTGAGCTGGCCAGCTTCACCTACCGCGCCTGAGCTGGCAAGTGCTATGACATGTGAGCCCCCACCGATGTGAACTAGTAGGGGGCCACATGTCATAACACTTGCCGCCCTCACTGGGTAGGTGGCGCCCTGCCAGGCTCCACCTCCCATTATTCTCAATATATATATATATATATATATATATATATTATATATATATATATATATATATATATATTATATATATATATATATATATATAATATATATATATATCAAATTCGTTTATTCCCTATGGGTGAGCATCAAGAGCTTTTTTTTCACCCCTATTTTCTGTATTTTTTCTGAATTTCATATGAAACTTCTAATTCCTGCATAAAAATAAGCCCTACACTAATCAAGAACCAGACCATAACCATACCCATTATCTTTCCTTCAAATTCCATGGCATGCCGTTCACTTGGAAACCATTTAAATTTATGAGAATTGTAGAATACCCACTGATTAGAATCAATTTTACACAAGACTCGCATGTATTTTCAGAAAACCAAGCACCAAATTCCTCTCATTTTAATTTTTTTTTTAAAGAAAAAAAATACTTGTTGCTTCATTCCTTTAAAGCAAATGTAGATAAGGTAAAGGAAAAATCTTTCAGACACACCAAGCTATTTCTTCAAAAACCCAATTCTAAAATGAACACAAAATTAAAAATTTCATACCCTCATCTCCTGAGTCACTCAAGCAGAGGTACAGTAAAAGTCCAATGGCCATGGCAGCGACAACAAACTTGATTGTGGTGCACTTTCTCTTCTTTTGGAGAGCAGGGGCTAGCTCTGGAGCTGAGCTTGAAATCACGTCTTCCCCATTTTCCATTTCGCTCTTGCTCCCTTTCACTCTGTTCTCTGAGTATCAAGGATCTGGGACTTAAAAAGAAAGAAAGGGAAAGGTGGAGAGAGAGTTTGGAGCTTGAGTGGGCGAAATTGAGATGGGCCCACAAGAGAAAGGGCAAAGTATCTTTTCAAGCGTAAAAAAATGTCCTCTTTTGCTTTTTTGCAAAAGTAAATAACTTGATGGAATGAAAATATATTTTGGTGATCTTTTAAATGGGAAGGTGAAAATAGAGGGATAAATTTTCAAAACAGTTCTTTTTGGACTTTTAATCCGAAAAAAGACCTATTTCTAACGTATTTTCAGAAACCGACCTGGTTTCAGCCTCAGCGTTGAAAACAGGTCGGTTTCTGGAAAAAAAAATTCTGAAACTTTACGGGAGTTGAACTCCCGTGAAGTTTAGTAAAGAAAGGGAAAGGTGGAGAGAGAGGTATGGAGCTTGAGTGGGCGAAATTGAGATGGGCACACTAGAGAAAGGGCAAAGTATCTTTTCAAGCATAAAAAAATGTCCTCTTTTGCTTTTTTGCAAAAGTAAATAACTTGATGGAATGAAAATATATTTTGGTGGTCTTTTAAATGGAAAGGTGAAAATAGAGGGACAAAATTTCAAAACAGTCCTCTTTGGACTTTTAATCCAAAAAAAGACCTATTTCTAACGTATTTTCAGAAACCGACCTGGTTTCAGCCTCAACGCTAACTAGGTCGGTTTCTGAGAAAAAATTTCGAAAACTACACGGGAGTTGAACTCCCTTGAAGTTTCGGAAATTTTTTTTTAGAAACCGACCTGGTTTCAGCGCTGAAACCAGGTCAGTTTTCGAAAATAAGTTAGAAATGAGTTTTTTTTTGCAATTATTATTGTAAAGGGGATTGTTTTGAAATTTTGTTTTACTGGATTGGGACGGTTAGGTGAGCATCCGTTTCACTTTTTAACTTCAAAAGGAAAGACATTTTGTTCTTACTATTGTTTTTCCTTTTTAATTTCTCTTTTACTTGAGAAAGTGTTAAGTTTTAAATTAATAGTTTGCTTTCTTTTATTTTATTTTCTTTTTTTCTGTTATGAAATTAGCAATTTGACTCTTATTTATTCCAAAATTTGGACTTGGTAAGAAATCTTGAGCTTTCAACAAGAGCACGTGATAAATTAATAGCTTTTAATTGTCTAATACTTGGGTGATGATTCCTCTCAAAAAAGATTTGTGGATTATTATAATTCAAGTTAAGTATATCTCATGTAATATCTTTGTGAGTATCTCCTTAACCAAAGTGATGGCACTCAGCATTCTCCATCCCATAAAAGACATTTCCTATTCGCTTTCTCCGTATGTCAATCAGAAGTTGGATTAAATTGTTGAGATTTAACCATGATTAATTCAAAGAGATAAGAACAACAAGAGTGGAAGCAATACTATTGATACTCGATATCAAACAGCCAATTAATCCAGAAGAGGATTGTTGCGGGGTGATGAAAGATGATGGAGGGCCCGTTCCCTTCTCCAGCTTTATTCCTAGTTCTTGAATGAGGGTCTGATGTCCGCGCTGCACAGACAGAAATAACGCGTGAGAGGGCGGGGACCGATTCCCCCGTGGTTCCTCCGACGATCAAGTCAGTAGATAAACATGAGCTTGAGTGGAGTTTAGAACTATGTGTTCTTATGCTATGTGCATTAGAGATTGTCATCTCTCTCAGATTGCATGGACTAGAAGAATTAGATTGTTATTTGTTTTATTGCCTTGATTTCATTGGGGGGGAACCTCTTTCTCTGATGGTGAAATATATCCATATATAGAGTGGATGTCAATAGTAGATTGGTCATTTCGGCCATACAGAATGACGGTGGCAAATCATGAGCTGGAAGATGAGTCATCCCTCTCTTTACAAGTGTCGGCTAGCGACTGGAAGGGAAGTCATTTCAGCATGGGAGATGGCGTCTCCGCAATATCCGGGAAGTGACTTGTGAGCATGACAGAAGGCAAGCGGGCATGCTGAGTCGTCCCTTGCTTTACAGGTGTCGACTGGGGACAGGATGGGAAGTCCCTTCATTATGGGAGAATGTATCTCCGCCTTTTCCGAGAAGTGATTAAGCTGACGGGTCATGGAGACTTTGTCAGGCCAATATCTGGATAAGACTTGTTCGAGGTGGACTGAGATGTCGACATTTGCTCGGGGGGAGAGGCTTGAGACCAGGGTCGAGTCCTCAACTTGGCCGACAGCAGGGAACGTCCCTTAAGTCATTTCTGAGAAATGCCCAGTGAGTGGCCGAGTGCCTTAAATAGGGTCGTCCTTGATAAAATGGTCGACCAACACCGTCTTTTGTGTCAACTTAGGAGTGTCGGCTTGTCCGACTGAGTGAGATGTCATCTTATCTTAGCTTAATAACTACCTTTCGGGTTGATATAAAGATGTCGACTCGTCTGGCATGTCAGGATCTCTCGTATCGGCTAGTATCGTCTCTTGTGTCGATACCAGGGTGCCGGCTTGATGAGTCGGTGGGGCCGAGACCTCTGTAATCATGCCTTAGGTTTATCCCTGATAAGGTACCAAGGTCTTGTAATCTAGCCATGATGGTCGAGTTGTACCAGAGGATTTGACCAAATATTGTGCCTTGGGTTTATCTTGATAAAGAGCCAAGGGCTTGATATTCGACTGAGAAGTCCCCTAAGGCCGAGAGATGACTGTGGGAGTCGGCCAAAGGGTTGATCTTGTTTTGCATAGAACTCTTATCGTATTATTTCACAAATATTGTATCTTGGGTGAGTGAACACCATAACAGTCGGCCCCTTTCACTTGGAGTTAGCTTTTAGTCGGCTCCGAGGGAAATAAGGTATGCTCTTGATCAATACAGGTCTACTGAAGACCAGAAACTGAAAAGTCTCTGTTTTAAAGACGTGGCTTGTCATTATTGGGCATCCATTGCTAACTCTACTATTCATGGCTGACGTCATCGAAAGATCTAAACCGTCTTTTTAGGAGATGAAGCGTCATGGATAGAAGGGAGGATCTTTCACTTTTTGAGTATTGGGACGAGGGGCATTAAATGAGGGTGGCGCTTCGTGTTTCGAGTGAACTGCTTCAGATTCCGATGTGCCTGGTTGTTTCAAAAATTGCCGCGTCTTTTGAAAATCCCTTTGTATTCTTTCTTGAAAGCTTATAAATAGTTTTTTGATGATGAGATAGTTCTTTTACGAACCTTTGCTTTTGGAAAAATTTCTGATATTCCTCTAAGCTTCTTCTAAGAAGAAATCTTTCATGGCTTCCCAAGCTTTAAACTCTGGCCGTAGTGAGGAGAGCCTTGCTGCTCTTTTCCTTATCTACTCAAAGATCCATATGGAAAATCTAGTGTGATTATATGATGAATACAATATCCCTCGGACTCTTACTCTGGCGGTGCCGGAAATGAGCAAGCCAGTCTACTACCATGGCAAGGGTCGAGTGCCGCTATACTTAGCCCATTTAGAGTATGGCTTACAGCTGCCCTTACACCCTTTTATCAAGGAGGTACACACTGCTATAGGGGTCTCCTAGTTCTATCCGAACGCAGTGGGAATTCTGATGGCTTTTATCATCATTTGCCATCGTGTTGGAGTCCAACCAAGCTTGAGAGTGCTTGGGCATTTGATCAGCGTAGGGTCAGCTGAGAAGGACCCACATTACTCTTTCCACCATCGTGGAGAGTTTTAGCTTGTTTCCGATTCTTTAGAGTTAGATGAGCACTGGAGGAAGCGATTTGTGTAGGTCTATGACCGCGACAACATCTTCGTCTGCTCGGACTGGCCGAAGGTGAATGAAGACATTTTGAGGCCAGTTACCCTTAGTGACTCCGAGATGATGGATCTGAAAAAGATCCGCTCTTATGCCGGGCCCCGAGAGAGCGATGCTCTATTTGTTGATGTGTTCTCTCAGACGGCAAGCATGTCCATGATTTTATCTTCTCCTGGTTTCGAGGCAAGGACGAGCCTTGTTCCTCTGTTAACGGAAAATCACAAGAGGAATATAGGGACCGAGGGGGTGAGCTCCACTGCTAGACCCCATAAGAAGCCGAGGGGGTCTTTTAGTGTAGAGGAAGTGGTTGTCGTGATGCCTCAAGCAGCTAACATTGCCTCTGAATTAAGAGGAAGGATAAGGGTTAAGAGGCAGCGCCCAATTAGACCAGATGGGATGGGTCCGCTAATAACACAGCTTAACCTCTTGGAAAACGTGGGGCTGATAGAAGAGTCTTCTCCTGGCAGGGAGACTACGGCCCTAGTGGTCAAGGAGGATGTTGTCGGCCCCAGTGCTAATCCTGAGGCGTCTCGTCACCCTGGCAAGGAGCCGATTAGGGTGAACGACGTCGTCGAGGGGAGAGCTTGAACTCTGTCAGATCAGATGGAGAATGATGCTAACAGGAGGATTTTGGAGGATATGTCAAGTGTTGGCATACTCCAAGCTCTTCAAGCTTGTTTAGCTCGGGGAACTTCGTTGGGACATGCACTGTTCAACTGACTTGAGCATTCCCTGGAAGGCTAAGCAGAGCTGGCTAATGAGAAGTCGGCCAAGGAAGAGGCAAAAAAGAGGATCACTGTCTTGGAGGCCGAGTTGACTCATAAAGAAGGCGTTTGGCGCCGGAGTTTGGATGAGAAGGAAGAGCTCCTTAAAAGTTTTCGAATACAGTTCTCCAAGCAGACATGGACCATCAAGAACGTTCAAGGGGAGATGGTTCACCTACAGGCGGAGGCCGAGTCCGAGAAGCGTCGTAGGACGACGGCTGAGACAGAGGCTCAAACAAGTCGCGAAGATCTACAATCAAAGTTTCAGGCATCCATAGTCCTTGTTGACAAACTGAAGGATCAACTTGCTCGTCTGGACTCAGAGCAGCATAGAAAGAAGGTGGTTGATGACTGGCGTCACGACCCTATAGGGAAGGCTGAAGTAGCCTTAGCTTGTAAAGCTGGAGTTAATTACTTTGCCTCCTTGGTGTCTCGTGACTCTCATCCGACTCCAGCTCACTTCTATCCTTCCTGTGTCTTATGTTGTCTCGACTTGCTGAAAGATGTCGAGAAAATTA